GATTGCTGATGTGTGGTTCACAAGTTCTACTTTTTGCTGAAGAGGTTATTTTGCCAGCTATGGCAAGCTGAATAACTAGATTTGCAGTGACGAGCAGTACCAATTTGTTGTGCCGCTTATGCAGTTTGAGCCACAAGACATGTATTGAAATGCAAATTTCAGTCCTTCATGAGCCTCAGCATTCACTGCGTTCATTGTTGTAGCTATGAGACAAAACTGGGGCATACGCTATAGCCCAAGATGGCTTGACTTTCTTTTTCAAGCTATGATTATATTGGCTGACCTGTGAAGCTGGTGATGGCAGTGTTACAAAAACCCTCATACATCCTAAATATCCTTCTGGTCCACAACTTGCAAGCATCAATCAAGAATAAATACAGCAAAATATATTTATTTTCTTTGCAGCTTAACCTGTGTTTCCCAATTTCAATGCGATTGCTTTGACCACCAAGCCACGCACCCATGCTCGTACCATGTAAACTTAAGTATACACAAGGCGTTCGGCCGTAAATGCAAAAAAAAGAGAAAAAACACTTGAAAACCAGTACACTTGGTATGGGCGCTTGATTTCAAAATCGCAGCTTGGCGGACTAGAAGCCACATGCTAGACTACGTGTACTATCAATGTTTGGAATTGCGCATTATAGAGAAATTGCTACTTCGTGATAATTGAATCCCTCACCTGCGTTGATCGCGTGATTTTCCTTTTTTTGGGCTATTCTACAGACTAACCAACGCTAGTATGAACATAACCAGTGCCGAGCTATCCTGAAAAGCGCCTACCGTGGACCACCACTGCCTCAATGTTAGTTTTGAGAGGGACTGCTTGAAGTAACATACTTACGTAAAGAGCGGAAACTCCCGTAGGGCCCTGTGGCCGAGCTGCTGCACAGCTTTCAGCGCCACGCGCGGCTGGTGAGTCCCAATTATCTCTTCAGCATAAACGAAAAAACCAATCATTTTCTTTCCGATGCTGCGATTTTAGCCATTACCCTGATGCTCCGAAAGCGAGTGTCTTTACCACTAGGCTACACACCTATGCTGCGACAAAGGGAATACATGTTCATCACATCTAAACCACATGAATGTGTACCTTTTGTGCAAAACCAATAATGAAAGACGGTACTTTTTAGCAAGGGTGTACTGCTGTTTGTGGTAAAGCATTAAATTTCCTCAGTGGGACACAATGTAGAGTCGACATGAAGAATCGCACAAACCAATAGGTTTTTTTTTCTTTGAACGAAATTTGATTTCAAACTTGGGTTTTCATGGTCCTCCCGAGGTAGCTTACTAAAGAGTAGAAGCAAGCATAAGTATGCCATGAAGCGGTTGGTACGACCCTTCCTTGCTCGGCCGCGAAAAGACTCGAGTGGCCACTCTTTACGAAAGTATATTTCCTTATAAGACTACGCAACGCGAAAGAAAAGCAAGGCACATCCGTGCTGAGGAACGCTTGCCGCTGTTTTCTCGACAGGGGAAGGGCTCCGCACTTTTTTTTCAGGTGGAAAAAGGCACGGACTACTTGGCATTGTTAACTTTGAGTTGCTGCCATGCCCCCTTTTCCCTCCTCTCACCTCTAACACACGTTTTCTTGATTATGCTGCCATTGTAAGCAATGAGGATATTACCGTTCTTTCGCTCTATGCTTGTATCATTATTGCGGTTTGAAGACATCATGCGGTAAGACCTTTCTTAGCTTCCCGTGTGCGTATGAGTTGAACCGAACCTCCTGGTTCGCTATATTATACGCTTGCCGTACAGACACTTGATAGCTACAACCACAAACTGGTCGCTACAACGCCGACAAAGTTATAGTTAGGTTGTAGTACTTCATGCACTTCGTTCACTTGGCATGCGTTGCACTATGTTGGGAATCGGTGCTCTTTCAGCAAGCATATTATACTTTCACACGCACAAGGTAACTCTCCGGCGCATGCACTTCATGAGTTACACTAATGGTAGCAGTTTGCTGCCAATGTTCAGCGCGAATAAACTTTTTTCTTATCAACCAATATTTTGCAATGTCAGGAAAAAAACATGACGCTTCAACTGAACTGAGTAAAGATCACTTCGTGGGCGAGGTATTTTTCGACGCCATATGGCGCTTGTACGGATCAGCTTATGCTAGTCATGCTATACATTCTTTGATATTTCAGGCAAGCTCAATTGCCACTGGTCGCAGCCCTGGAATATGCTCAAGTAGACTGCAACGTTTGCTGGTGGCGCCAAACCATATCTCGTTTTTACTTGTACGGTGAGTGGTTGCGGGAGAAATCGACGGTGGTGGAAGTTTTCCTGTACTCGCAATTGAAATATGTAAATCTTGTAAACTTTCTCTGCCTGGTCACTGCCGTATTTCTCAAACTTTCGAGTTAGCAACTCTTAATCATTTTGTTCTCACCTCTAGCTAACGAGTTGTAGTCGTCCACTACGTCGTTAGCCATGCTTCTCAGCATAGCCGGCCTGACTGCTGGCTATTTGATACATGGTACTATTATGTGCTATACATGGTCTTTATATATATGCGAAAACATATATGTCCACATATCTACTTCTATACCCATTGAGTTGTTGCTATAGGGATGATTGCGAAAAATTCTTGCTTATAATAATAATTTTATATTTAACGACACCAGAAGCAACATTATAGAACTGTAAACTTTTCATCACTTTAGAATGATGGCCCATTCAATTTGATTATTATTGTTCATTTCGCGAGTATATTTGATCTCACCAACAGGTTGGGAGAACTTAGCAAAGATTCATGACGAGAGAGTCCTAAGAAAAATTTAATTCTTGAATCAGTGCGATTCCGTTTCTATTCGTAACCCATATATTGTACTTACTTAAACATCAGAGGGGCATAAAACACTTGTTCAGCGTCTTGAGGAGGCTCTGCCGCTCTGGAGTCGAGGCTCCTGAGAACCTGCCAGCAAATATTACGTTGCCAAGAATGTGCAATACATGCTCCGCCATAAAGAAATCGTTCCCTCTCCTCTCAAAAAATGGTGCCAAAAACCTCAAGCCGCAGCAGTTGACTGATTTGAGCATCGTGAGCTGCGTTGTTACTATGACTGCCTCGCGATAAACTTAAAGTGATCCACTTTCTCACAAAAAAAGATTAAAAAACAATTGGCCGCGTATCAGCGCACATCTCTGAAAATGTCGTCAAAATACGACTGTTCTGTCATAAGGAATGTGACCACTTTCGGGTGATTTTTTTAAAACGTGGCACCTGTGAGTACTCGTTGTATGGTTATTTTCAGGTCATTTATGTTTTGCCTTCTCTCTGAGAGCGTCTCCTTTGTGTTCAATGTGACCATCCTGGCTGGAAACAATGAACTACAAGAGGCACTGCTTGAGATATGGACGCCACCTGGCAGTGGTGTAGCGAAACATGAGCTTGTGCAGATACCTGGGCCAGTGCGAGGTAGCAGTACAATATCATCGAAAAAGAGCTTTTTTCAGTGCACAGCATCAAATTTTCAGCGCAGCGTAAAAAACAAAACGTTCTTTAGAATTACGTATCCATTTTTTTTCTGGCAAGAGAACACACCACCCAATACTTAAGTATTGAAGTTGTGCCTCACATATGTGTAATATTTGTTTTTTGATCAACAATGTTCACAATTGTGAATACAGCCACTAGTTAAAGATGGCTGGGCAATGAGCCGGGCGCCTAAATAGTATGACAGACAGACAGACAGACAGACAGACAGACAGACAGACAGACAGACAGACAGACAGACAGACAGACAGACAGACAGACAGACAGACAGACAGACAGACAGAGAGACAGGCTACGCAACAAAAGCTAATACCTCGTCTGTCATAGTGTGCAAGAAGCTTTTGGTTTCTTTATCCTGCGGCTTTGTTCTGAGCTTCCACAATCACCTGCCTTAACTATTCAGTCAATATATGAATTTTTAGCCAGTGTTTTCTGGGCTGCGATTCTTTTTGCATATGATGCGGATAACCGGGGATCTCAGTAGGGACAACAGTGGGAAACACAAGCTTACCTTTTGTGTCCTTCTTGTAGTTATCCTCAGTAAAAATTCATTAACATACTAGCGATTTGCCTTTTAATTGTTTTCCATTTGCTTCCTTGCTCTAGTAGTCATTGGTGACAAAAAATTGACAGATTTCACGTACAGTGGGAATCGATGATATGAGAAGCATGAATGAGGAAGCTTGACACGTCACTTCAAAATCAGCACTACAGTACGAGGCAGACGTAATTTATTCCGTACATAAGTTCCATGTCATGATTCCATGTCATGGCCGCGAGAGCATCATGAACGTGGCATGTAGTCAGGTTCTTGCGTAACACGCATGTCATGATTATCATGTTTTCATCAGTCACATACTTTTGCTGTTCGTTTCCAAAATAAAATTAAAGTTCGCGTCACGCACTCAGGTTTACCTGAACTGTCTAATTTAATTGGGAACTCGGCACTGTGCCAGCAAGGCTGTGGTTGTGCAAAAGCTGAAAAAGAAGTGCGCGTGTCGATGCTCTGATACCTGACCCTGAAAAAATGACCTTGCAGGGAATCAAAATATTACTGCTTCTGCACGTGTCTGACGTCTCGCCATGCAGCCATCAGCCCCGCCATCATATTGGCTTTAACAACAGGAGAATCAAGTCCATATGGAGCTGCTGCTGCAGTGCAATTGGCGAAAATCTGCGTTTGAGTGGGATGACCTTCCCGTTCTAAAGCGAAACCAAACAACAAAAAAACACCATAGTATTTGAAGGCGTATAGGTGAAAGTTATCACTTAAGTTTAATAATCATCCAGGGGTGTCTGTTCCTTTGTTTTGCTCTCTGCTTATGTTCCCTGCTTACGTAAGACAGGATAACAAACCGGCAAAAGCTTTCGCACAGCTCATTCAGAAAGAAAATCAGTGAAGTAGTATTGAAGGCAGAGACCTTGCGGTGCAAAAAAGTTCTATAATACCCAAGCACTGAACATTGTTCAAACCTTTCAGTGTTTCTCAGGATAGTTTTCATGTTATTTTTATGCGCATATAGAAAAGCTTCCCGACAAATCACTGACGTATTCATGATTGGGCGCTGGAGCGTTCTCCTCCTCGAGGAACAGGGCTGTTTGTATTGAACTTGTAAACGGCATGAGTTGCAAACCAGGATTTCATTCCAGCGTAGTAAATCCTGCAAAAAATAAATGGTTATTATGATAATTTGTGATTATTTCACAACGTCGTATAGGCCTGATTTTTCGAGCACTAACAAATTTCTTTTTCACATGCGATGAGCAATTGACTGTATTTGACTTTCAATTGAAAGGTCGACCTACACGTGGCAACGTATGCCGGCACATTTTTTCGATTGGTATTTTTTTATTTACTAGACAGATCTTTTATTAAGGCCAAGCTGTGTCTTGGTCGCTATCTGGCAACAAAAGCACTTTTCGTTCTCTCTCTAATCCTGCCTTTAATATTGTCATGGAGTAGTTACGTCGCCGAAGAGAGGAGACTGTGGGTCGAAGATGAAACTATTTATTTGGTCGGACCTCTGGCCAATCAATGAAAAGTCACAATACCGTGATCCGTGGAGCACTGATATCAGCGAACAGAGTGGCCGTGAATCAATTGACAAGTGGGAAAGCACAACGGCATTTATTTACGTGTCGTCGAATATTCTAGCGTTATCGCTAGCAGCCACGAAGGTTTCAGAATAATCTTCAATATTCGCGAAGATGCGCAATTTTAACAAAATCATCTAAGAAGCTTTTCGAACACCGCAAGCGCGGTTCGCGCTGGGAATTACTGACAGTGTAAAAAAGGCGACAACGAAACTTGAGGAAGGATAGTGGCATTGCACCCCCTCTGAGAAAAGCATTGTCCCTATGATTTAATAAGAGACGAAAATGCAATATCACTGTAAGAGAATAAACGATAAGTACAAGCAATGAATTCCAGCAAGAACAACAAACATCAGTCCTCTGGTTAGTTAACGCGCATGAAAGGGCTTGAGGCACATGGCATGGACGACTTCAGATCACCCGTGACCGCTGCCGTCGATAGTTCATGATGCCGCCAGGGACAACCTTGTAGTCGAGTGTGCCCAGAGGTCGAACAACCTTGTACGTCCGAAGTACCGTCACGGCGAAATTGGACCGAAAACTTGGATCCAAATGAACGTGAAACTTGGAAGTAAAAGTGTCGTAAACATATTGCCAAAGGCATCAACGCCCACCGACTATTGAAGCATGACTATGTGAGGAGGGGTAAACAACAAAAAATTAAATACACAATATATTTTTTGTTTCAAAAAGTTGTAATTTTATGTTAGTCAAAGTAACAACAAGGTTACATCACGGTGTATCTGGCATTTGGATAATTGGTTGATTGTCTAAATTTTTCGTCAATTATGTGCTATAACAAGAGAAGGGGGCGTATCTAGGCAATCAGCTATCGGAGCCTACATGTGTTTAGTTCGGTGCATTACCAGGTCAATTAGGTGTCGCTCACTTTCCCGCGGTGGTTTCGTGCGTACCTTCCGTAGTTTACCTATTTTTCATGTGCCATTTACTGGTGTGACATTTCATAGCGGTACTAGCTCACGAATGGGTAGATAGCCAATCTTTTGACTGCCGACTGCTATCGCTGGTGCACGGCCGGCGTGCGCTCGCCTTTAGTCGCGGTAAATGCTACATGCTTAGTACCGATATGCTCAAGTTTACTATTGCCAAAGCTACACTGTCAAAGCTGCTGCCGCACTGCTGTGGTGTTCGACAATTGGGCATTGGGTGTTCTCGACCCGTTTTGTTATCTTGCTCATGGAGAGTTGTGTCCCGATTGCATCTGCGAAGTTATTTATGCATATTGTAAGTACGTCATTTGTCTAATAAAACAACATTGCTCCCTTAATCATTGCTTTCAAATGCAAAGCATGTTTAGTGACCTTCGGTGACTTAAAGCGTATCTATCTATCTAGCCGCTTTTGTTTGGGTGCTCTCGTGGTCAGCCCCTTAGCGTGGCGGGAGGGTGAGATGGTTTGATGATTAGGACGCACAGGTCAAGACATGAATTATGCCACAATCCTATCGGGTATATCATCAAACACTTCTCGCCAGACAGCGGCGTATACCCATGGGCCGGGGCGTGCCGCTGGTACGCGGGTATGTGCCACAGGTGATTGACACTTAGTATCTACCTAAGAACGACTAGAACACACATGAGCAATTTGAACGTATGAGCGTTAAGAAATACCTGACATTGGTATCATCGACCCGACCAATGCAAAAAATAAATGTCAGAGTCCCAGCTGGCATTGAACCCACGAATTCTGCATGGCAATGAAGCATTTTACCAAAGAGCTACGACCGGACTCTGACTACTTTTCATTTAGACGCTAATCTTCGTGAAACGTCAATAGTGGTTGCAGAGCTGCCTACACGATTTCATAAACTATAAATATGTACTTTTTTGATACAGCCGTCAAGTCGGGTTAACGGAAATTGAGGTTAGTTGCCATGCGCTGAAGTAGATTTATGTAGCAGGGTCCAGCGCCAGCATCCTCGCGAGCATCAGTCCTTAATATCCGCTTCTGGTATTGCTAATACGCATGTTCCAGTTGACATCGTTCCGCAGGTCCAAATAACTTTATATCAACCTCTTCAACTCTCTCTTCGAGATAACTGTGCGTGGAATTTTTGTACATATATTTAGCGGCATTTCATGACGTGTCGCACAATAAAAAACTCGTAAAACAGTCACTTTCCCTCCACATGCTTCGCATGACGGCGATTCCTATGTACGTGAGATCTGCCAAATTTTTTTGTTCTTTTCTCTTCTGCATGCATTTAGCGAACCACAAGACGCAATAAAATTGCGTATTATTACGGACACGTAAAAGTTCAGCAATTAAAAAAATTCAATTTCGCGCAATGTAGGGCAAATGCACAACAACAATACCACTACCTGTTGTGACGTCACATTTTTAAAAATTTTTGTTTGTTATTAGTTGTTCTCTCCAAACGTAGTTGGAGACGGTGGCAACAAGCCGCCGACTACTGCATCCAAGGGCTTTTATAAAAGCTACGCTATTAGTATATATATATATATATATATATATATATATATATATATATATATATATATATATATATATATATATATATATATATATATATATATATATATATATATATGTGTGTGTGTGTGTGTGTTGGTACCTCCTCGGAAGTTTTTCATCCGCGTCGGCGTATCGGCTTTCATACCCAAACGCGGTAGCTTGACTGGTATTCCACGAATTTTCGTCGAAGATTGTAACGGTGGCGGTCGGTCATCTGCAGATTCTCGATGCGCAGGCGGGCAAGTTGACGAGCTTCCGTGCGCTGAGAGTAGACGGTGACGTCGAGACTCCCTTCGTCAGCAACGTTTGGCAGCATGGCATTGAGCTTCGTTGCCGGGTTCTTTCCGTAGACCACCTTGTACGGCGAGATATTAGTCGTCTCCTGCACCGCCTTGTTGTATGCGAAGGACACATACGGAAAGATGGCATTCTACGTTTTTTGTTCGTCGTTGACGTACATGGCCAACCTGTCAGCGATGGCCTTGTCAGCCACTCGGTGAGGCCATTGGTCTGTTGGTGGTACGCTGTCGTCTGGTGGTGGCTTTTCTGGCTGTGGACCGAGATCGCCTGAGTTAGGTCAGCAGTGAATGCAGTACCGCTTTCAGTGATAAAGACTTCTGGGGCACCATGACGCAACACAATGTTTTTGACAAAGAACTTTGCTACCAAGGCAGCACTACCTTGGGTCGAAACCCTTGTCTCGGCGTAGTGGGTGAAGTAGTCAGTAGCTACGACGATGTGTTTGCAAGAAGGTTCTCAAAAAGTCGTCACTGTCCTCGTCATCCTGCGGCAGAGCGTCAACGGAGGCACAAGACAAGCAGTCTGCATTAGAGTGTTTTAGTCTGGACTTTTAAACGATGGTAACGTCCAATTCTTGAAGCCTTAGACTCCATCGTGCAAGGTGACCTGAAGCGTCCTCCGCGTTAGCTAGCCAGCACAAAGCGTGGTGGCTGCTCACAACAATGTAGGGGCTTCCATGGGGATAGGGGCGAAAATTTGACGTAGCCCAGATGATAACATGACACTCTTTTTCTGTTGTGGTGGAGTTGCTTTCTGCCTTCGATAGCGACCAGCAAGTATAACTCCTAATCTTTTCTTCTCCGTCAGTCTTCTGCAAAATAATGACACCGAGACCTACGCTGCTGGCGGCAGTGTAGATTTCCGTATCAGTGTCTTTGTCAAAACGCGCAAGTATCGGCAGGGCCAGCAGGCGTCGTTTCAGTTTCTGAAATGCCTCAATTGGCGCCGTCCCTCTCTTGAAATCGACATCGGTCTTGATAAACTGCTTTAGTGGCTTGGCTATCTGTGAAAAGTCCTTGACGAAGCATCTGTAACAGGGCACAAGCTAAAAAACGGTTGACGACCAGTTTTTTCTAGACTCTTTGAAAAGATAATTTATCTCCGGTTAAGCAAATGCGAGACAAACATTTATTCCTGACGAATGCTTAGTACGGTTTCCGTAAACATCTTTCAACAGAACCTTGCTCTTGAAACAAAAAGTAAACATTTTGAAAAAACTTGAAAAAAATAAAATAATCATTGGTATTTTTGATTATTTGATATGTGGGGTTTAACGTCCCAAAACCACCATATGATATGAGAGACCCCGTAGTGGAGGGCTGCGGAAATTTTGACCACCTGGGGTTCTTTAACGTGCACCAAAATCTGAGCCGACGGGCCTACAAACTTTCCGCCTCTATTGTAAATGCAGCCGCCGCAGCCGGGATTCCAACACGCGACTAGCGGGTCAGCAGCCCAGTACCTAAGCCATTACACCACCGCGGTGGGGCAATTAGTATTTTTGTAAATTTAGCAAAACAGTTTTACCTTTCTAATCAGCTTCTATGAATTAAAAAGCTCTTCTGGTATGGATTTCATGGGCACGTGGAAAATTTACTTAAGTCCTACCTAAAGAATCGGAGACAAGCACTCAACATTATTGGTTTCACAACGTAACTGAAGAAAGTAAAATGTGGAGTCCCTCAAGGAAGCATATTAGGTCTTTCTCTTTTTGACATATATTAATAATGGCATAGTGCATAGCGTTCGTAAATAGAGAGGTTAGCATTGTT